TGAAGATACATGAAAAATGAGGAAAAGTTCAGCATCCCAGCCACCAGAGAAAACCAAACCACAAGATTTCACCTCAGCCCAGTAAAAATGACTATTATCAGGAAGACAAAAAAAAAAAAAAAATGCTGAAACTGTGTATTTTAACAACGAAGTGGAGATCTTTTTTAAATGTTAAAACCTCATTTAATTTTATGTCTTATAGAGTTTATAATGAGTAAAAGATTGTATAAGCGTAATAATTCATCTGTAAACCTAAAAATGTACAGCCAATTTTGAAAGAGATGTTCCCTAGCTCAGAAAAATGTTATTGAATAGGTTAATGCTGTTGTAATGAAATGCTTCTTCTAATTAAAAAATAAATAAATAAATAAAAAATGCTGCCAGGATACAGAGAAAGGAAAATACTCACACATTGTTAGTAGGACTGTAAATCACTACAGCCATTACGGAAAAATAAAAAGCTAAATTTAGGACTACCTTACCAACCTGCAATTGCAATCCCACTACTGTGCATGTCCACCTGAGAAAGGAAATCAACATATCAAAGAGACCCCTCCCTGTGCTGTAAAGTCTACCAGCCCTATTCACAATGAATGCATAGAGGAAACAAGATGTACATACATGATGGTAGTATGTGGCCATAATAAAGGATGACTCCTATCATCTGTGACCTGATGGATGAAATTGGAAATCACTATGGTGAGCAAAATAGGTGAAGAATCACAAACACTACACGATTTCATTCATATTCAAAATCTAAAACACATGGGCTTATAGATGTTGAAGTAGAACTATGCATAACAGAGACTGGGACGAGTCATAGGCATGGGGTGTTCAATGGCACAGCAGGGTAAATACAGTTAACAGAATATAGAGTATATTTCAAAATAACTAAAAAGGAGGATTTTGAAATGAATGCATTTGTCATTAAGAAGTAATAAAAAATCTAAAGTGACATAAATAACTGATAACAATTTTACCCAATGTTTATATGAAGCAAATCATCATTTTGGACCTTATAAAGGTACATATTATTAAGTGTTAATAAAAGAAAGCTCAATTTAAAGAAGTCATCCTGGCATTGTAAGGGATTCATTCCTCCAGAGTAAAATCAACTGATTTCCAAAGCAGGTATTTTAGCAGATATTTCACTTCCCCTCCCCAGGCCTGGCTCCACTGATGCATGATTTCTTCATCCCCTTCACTCTACAACCTTTCAGAAGAACCAGAAATACCTCTACATCCACTTCAAACTGAAAAAGCTGAACAGGATTAATTGGAACGAAAGGCTAGGGTTGTGGCAAAAGAGCATGGATATTTCTGGCTCAGAGTCTAGCACGTCTTCTTGATTTAATGCATCACCTCAAGGAAGTCTAGTGCCCATTGCAGCCACATCATAAGGGTGGACAGTGGAGACAGGCCAGGTGACATCACTGTCAGACAGCAAGCAGGAAGAAAATGTTAAGCCAGAGATTTTCATTACAAAAGCTGGAATGAAGATAGAGCAGCTCTCCAAAAATCCACTTCCTTTAGGAAGGGCTTGTTTTCTGTATAAAACTCCAGCTGGCCAGAGACTCCTCAACAGATCAGAGCATCCAGAGCGCTTCAGCCTCCGAGGTAAGACTCCCCATGCGGAGCTTCTTTCTCTTAATATTTCATTTATTAATTTATTTTCTGTGTATGAGTGTACTGCCTGCTTGTGTGCAAGCACACTGGTGTCATGCAATGACCATGGTGGTCAGAAGAGGGTGCAGGATCCCTTGGAACTAGAGTTGTTAGCTGCCATGTGGGTGCTGGGACTTGAACCCGGGTCCTCTGCAAGAGCGGTCAGTGCTCTTAACCACCGAACCACCTCTCCAGTCCCCCACCCCATTTGAAACTTTTTAACATTCTCCCTGTGATATTTTATCTTGATTGGGATCTCTTAACACCCTGAAGACTTATTGACTTCATCTTTACAGCAGGTATTTTAATTTACCACTCGGATCACAGACATGGGCTTAGAATCAGAAAAGGGGAGCGATTTCTGTAAAGAGAGGCATTAAGTTCGCAGGAAGTCATGCATGGGAATCCTGCCCAGGCATTTTGGTGATGTTATTATTGCCCTCTAATTTTTTTTGAGAATTTTCATTACCAAAAGTGCTGCACAATGCTAAAATCCTAAATTCCTCTTTACTCCATGAACCTATAATCCATCAATGAGTAGAATACATGGGTTTCATTTTCTACCATACAGCATGGAAAGTGATTGCCGGAAATAGAGGAGGCAGGTCCTTGCTAGCACAAAAGAAGGAAGGTGGCTTGGGATCTGGCAGAAACACAGACCAGCCATGATAGATGAGCCTGTATGAACAAACAGCAATACAGTAGGAACCTTCCAGAAAATAAGTGTGGAGGAAAGGATGTGCCTTGGGGCTCACATATGAATTTGAAGGTTCAAGACGTTTACATGAGAGTTTTTCCACAGGAGTTTGATTCTGGATTTTTTTGCCCTACCATCCTCTCAAATTATTGAAAACCTGGGATCTCACCTCAATCCCAGGAGCCTGCTGCATATTTGAGCTGCTGTGTTCTGTTACGGGGTTTATGAGTAGGTTTTTAAAAACATGGAGAAAAGAATCAAAGAGAAAGACTCTACTCATATTGAGATGGACAAATCCCCTTAATATATTGCCTTAAAAGTAAACAAGGAAAGCATCAAAGTATCCTAGGACATACAACTCAGGAAGATTAAAAAAAAAGTCCCTGACACATGAAGGGAAGGACAATGAGAGATATTTGTTCTTAAACTTGTATTCTGCTTTTCTCCTCAAAACTACTAAACCAGTTTCCTGTCCTTAGGTTCAGCATCCTTTGAAGCATGAGTTCCTACCAGCAAAAGCAGCCCTTTGTCCCACCCCCTCAGCCTCAACAGCATCAGGTGAAGCAGCCTTGCCAGCCTCCACCTCAAGGACCATTTGTTTCTGTAACCACGGAGTCATGCCACACAAATGTTCCACAACCAGGAAACACCAAGATTCCAGAGCCAAGCTATGCCAAAGTCCCTGAGCCAGGATATACTGTGATTCCTGGGCCAGGTTATACCACAGTCACTGGGCCATGCTCTACTAACATTCCTGGGCCAGGTTATACCACAGTCACTGGGCCATGCTCTACCACCATCTCTGAGTCAGGCTGTACCACTGCTCCTGGGCCATGCTCTACCAACAACCCTGTGCCAGATTATACCACAGTCACTGGGCCGGGATCTACCAACATTCTTGGGCAAGATTATACCACAGTCACTGGGCCATGCTCTACCAACATTCTTGGGCAAGATTATACCACAGTTACTGGGCCAGGATCTACCAACATTCTTGGGCAAGATTATACAACAGTTACTGGGCCGGGATCTACCAACATTCTTGGGCAAGATTATACCACAGTCACTGGGCCATGCTCTACCAACACTTCTGGCCCAGATTATACCACAGTTACTGGGCAATGTTCTAGTAATATTCCTGGGCCAGGATATACCACAGTTACTGGGCCATGCTCTACCAACATCCCTGGGCCTGTATATACCACAGTTACTGGGCCGTGCTCTACCAACATCCCTGAGCCAAGCTGTACCATTGTTCCTGAGCCGTGTTCTACCAACATCTCTGAGCCGGGATATACTACAGTCCCTGGGCCGTGCTCTACTAACGTCCTTGAACCTGGCTATGTGAAGGTCTCAGAGCCGGTCTATACCAAGGTCCCTGAGCAGGGCTACACCAAGATGCCTGACCAGGGATATGCTAAGGTACCAGAGCCAAGCCAGTCCAAGGTTCCTGTTATTCCAGAAGTAACTCAGCTGAAGACCAAGCAAAAGTAATGCAGCCCACAGCCAGGCCCTGAAGAGCTCAGCACCAGCTGCTGAGCACCTTCTTCCCATCTGCTTCTGTGTCTTCCTTGCCTGAGACCATGTAATCAATCTGATACCACAGTGATCCTACTCTCCAGCTCTGTTCTAAAAGTATGTGCCATGATGCCTTCCCTCAAGTGCTCAGATGTCCTCTGAGCCTCTGGGTTAAGCAGGCAGTCTTAGTGCATTAGGTGCTCTTCATGTCCTCAGCATGCGTCTGAAGAGGGGCTCTGTATAGGAAGATTCTGTATGCATGTTTCCTGCTTTGCTCCATTAAATTACTTTTAAGTCCACTCCTGGCTCTGTGTGGTATTTGCTCAATCTTCCACCTTCCTAGGTCTCCACCTACAGACTGCAAAGGGTTGGCATAGATGCCATCTCATTCACCCTGTCACTGTGTATTCTGGGAGGCTGTGGGGGATATTTAGAAGGCACTCCTGGGCTAGTGTTTGGTATGGTATAATGGTATCAGGGCCTGTCACTTTGGACAGCCACAGTTTGAACAAGGTTCTTCTCTGTACTGGATTAAGTCATATCTAAGTCCAATTTTTCTGCCTCAAGCTACCTCTTACCCTCAGCCCTGTGCCCTGAAGTCTTCAGTTCATTCAGCAGATACATTGCTTGTACATGATTGAATCTCAGTCTTCACCTCCTTTAATGGATATATTGCATATACTTGAATCTCATTTTTCATCCTCTCATTTTTCCGTGGAGCTACCCCTGATACATACAGACCCACACCGTCTCAGACTCCCTGTACCTTTACAAACTCACGTGCTCACCTACATAAATTCTGCCTCGTTTACTCCAGCATCGCTCCCTTTTGCTGAGCACCTGTCACATACCCTGTATCTGAGTCCTATACATGGTGGAAGGATGCATAGTGCCTCCACTTGGGGCATGTACTTTCCTCTAGGCCTTGAGATACTTGAGCCTTTCTCAAACAAACATGCACATATCATATGCTCCTGGTCAATCTCCCCTGTCCTCCTTTTTCATTGTCTTTCTACACAAGACTAACCCACAGAACATTTAATTCAGTGATTAAAATGTGATGAGTTTCAAGAAAGGGATTGGAGTACACAATCCAGAAAAGTGAATAACTATCTGCAAAGTTAAGAAAATGAAGGTAGCTGAGCTATGAAATTTCAGAAGAGAAAGGCGACTTTAAGATCACCTAGTACAGACATTCCATTGTCAAATAAAGAAGGTAGGCATGTTTCTGCATCATATCCAGAGCTCAGAATCTCACTTCTCTTACAACCTGATTGTGACCATGGGTGTGACTGATAGCTAAGACCATATGCAAAGGTTCTGGGATAATAGAGAGCCATCTTCTAGAAGCATAAAAAAATATCAAAGTTTAGAAAGACTTCAGCAGTCACCAGAGAACAACCTCTATTTCTTAATCAGTTCCATAATACCACAGATACGAGGCAGGTGACAAGCCAAACCTGCATGTTTCACAAGCACTTCAAATGGATTTAGCAAGAGCAGCAAGATGCTTAGAAACTAAAGGAGAAAAAAACCATCTTCCAAACCATGACAAGGTGATGAGTAGTTGTCAAACTGGCAAGAAAGAATGACACCCCTTGTTCCTATTAGGCACATATATGCTGAGTGGCTTTGCATCACTGCGGACTTCAGCGGTAGAAAACTTTGGAGATGACTGCAGGATGAATCACTATGAAACTAATTCTGGATATTAGACATTTACCATGTAATGGCCAGATAATATGAGTGTGGAGGAATGTATTTTATTGCTCCTATTATTTAGAATTTCCTTTTTCAGAATATTTTTATTATGAAAGAAACATGGTGTAAAATGTACCCATTAACTTGGTTGCCCACCAGAACTTGATGGCAGGACTCTGTTGCTAAAGATACAACCCACATTGGTCACAGGACATGGAAAAATCAAATCGGTACTGACCAGGAAGCCTCTACCCTGATGGCTAGCTCTCATAGTACTGGAAGGTTCTATGCAGGCTTTTGGGGGAAACTGTCTTTAACAGTCTTAACCAGCTGTAAGACTGCAAGACCTATGAACTGTAATAATGACTGGCATGGCAAGATATGGCCAAAGGTGCAGTGGTGGCATGGATGTTATGGGGGTAACCATCCACTTTCTGCTTGGATTTAAGACTCACTCCACAGAAGGAAACACATGCCTGGTACAGCAAATCTGATCAAGGACCCATGTTTGGGTAGTTCACTGGCCCCAGGGGCAAACCTACTACTATCATTTTGCTAAATGGACATAATATCAAACTGCCCTCTAAATTCATGTCTCTCTACCTATAGAATAGTGCAGCTCTTAGTCCTCATCAGAGAAGTTTCTTTGTACAGTGGGTGATGGTTAATGCAGAAACTCATTGATGATCAAGAGTAAAGAATAAGTGTCAGTGGAGTGCTCAGCTACAAATGGGACATTTATATCACATCCCCTCCCCAAGGCTCTGAGACCCTCATGGAAGAAGGGGTGGAAAGATTGTAAGAGCCAGAGGTAGAGGAGGATTAGAGCAAAACAGTGTGTTCAGGACATGACAGGACTCATGCATCTTGAACTTAACAGCAGGTGTGGTTGCCTACACAAGACCTGCACAAGATCAAGGTGTCAACATTGTAGCATGCCTAACTGAAACACTATGGACAGCTGAATGTGTGGAGAGGGAGATGTGGTTCCTGGTAGGTCAACCGCATTCCAGTGGATGGCTCCACACCAAGAAGTATATGGGCAGGAAAAATTGGAGTCGATGAGTTATTAAATAATAAATAGAAGGATAAAAATGGGGGGGTAGGGTAGTGGGTTGGATCTGGAGGGAGATGAGGGGAGAAGTTGGAGGTGAATATGATCAAAATACATTTTATAAAATTCTCAAATAATTAATAAATATATTTTTAATCTAATCATTAAAATATTTTAAAGTGCAATGTTGTACACCTTTGTTAAAATCCATGCTGGTATGTGGGCTTACAAAAACATCAAGGAAAATCTTGAGGCTAAGTTCAACAAGTATAAACAGCAATTTCTCCTGGCGACTTTGTGTTGATGCTCATTTTTTGTCATGTTCTCCTCAATAATTTGCTTTATGTGATGCTATCTCATATTTATTTTTATGACTTTTATTGTGATATTTAAAATAATACAAGTCAACCAAGTTATTGATATGTTAAGGAAACATATCTTCTGCCTTCAAAGCCATTCTTGGGCACAGATCCTATGTTGACTTGCCCAAATGCACACTTGTGAAGATTCCTTACTGAGCAAGCCCATGGTATCTTCATTCTCAATACATTTAAATTTTTTATATCTTATTTATTTATTGTGTGTGTGCATATGTACATGGGTACAGGAGTGGCATGTGGAAGTCAGAGGAAAACCTTTAAGAGCTGTTTCTTGGGCTGGAGAGATGGCTCAGCAGTTAAGAACACTGGTTGCTCTTGCAGAAGACCCGGGTTCAAATCCCAGCACCCATATGGCAGCTAACAACTGTCTATAACTCCAGTTCCAGGGGATCCGACAGCCTCTTCTGACCTCCTCGGGCATTGAACAACACAGGTGCACTTATCTACATGCAGGTAATACATGTACACACATAAAATAAAAATAATAAATAAAAACAATTTTTTTACACAAAGAGCCATTTCTCTTCTTTCACCATGTGGGTCCCTGAAATCAACTCAGTTTGTCAGGCTTGGTGGCAAGTCCTTTATACCCACTGTGCCATCTCTCCAGGTTTCCCCACACATTTTCATCCCAGCCTAATTTTAAGGAACCCAAGTCAACCGTCACTAACATTAGCAATCCAAGAGCTTCCAGCCTAGCCAGCTGACTTTGGCAGCTGATGCTAGTTAAATACCAAATGAGACCTTTTTCATTAAAGCCAAGCCACTTTTGTAAAGCACTTCCATCTTGACTAAACCACGACAATTCCTGTAACTAATTTTCTAGAACTAAATTTATTTCTCTAGATTCCTTCTCCACCTTATTGACCCTCAGTAATGGTTAATCGGGAAAGATGTTTATCAATCACTTACCATTCTTTAGCTGACGACTTAGTGGTTACTCCTAGCAATGGCCAATTGTGGACCAAAAAGGGAAAGTTCTCAATATCCTTCCCAGACCCCTTCCTGTTAAAACTATAAGGAGGGACTCCCACTCCACTGTGTGAGTCTGATCTCTCCTCAGAGCTCCTGCCATGCTTCTGTCTGTCAATGGCATTAGTAATGTTCTAATGAACTTCTTACCTCAAAAGACAATCTCTTTCAGTGTCCCCCAGTTAAACTCAAAGTTTTTCAGACTTGTCCCCTTCCTGTTTCAGCCTCTTTTTTTCCACTGGACTTTTCTTCTGTGACTTGGCAGAACCCCTCACACACACAGTTCCCCACCCCCACCCCATGTTAGGCTGCTTTCTAAACAATCAGCTGATCGCTATCTCGACCTGTATAAATAAAGAAATGGCATTTGCTGTCATTTCACGGCTCTTTGTTTTAACACCTTTATTTCCTCTTCCTTCTGGATCCATGACATCCAGAATTGATGAAAAACACTCTGTTTTTTGGTTCAGGTAAAACCAAACTATTAAGGGATTTTCCACTATATCTCTGACTGAGAAAAGTCTCGAGGTGGATCTAGGTCAACCACTCTCTCCAGTTAGTCCTTGCTAATCCTCAGCTTAATTTTCACAGTTCCACTCCATCTTCCCTGTCTGTGCACATTGTACCCCAGAGTCATCTCCTACCACCTCACACACTTCCTGAGATTCAGTCCCCTAATCTAGGTATTTGATCAAACGACCACAACCTATACTGACCTTCCCTGCCCATCCCATACCATGTTCTCATCAAGCTTCTGATTCTTGGATTCACAACTGATCTCTCCTAACTGGAAGTCCCAGAAGGGCGGGGATGTCCTGAATTCAACTTTGGGCTCCCCTGTTGACTCAGGGCCTAACCTGCTTCCCAACAAATGACAAGAGTCATTAATATTGACTAAGTAATGAGAGGATTAGCCCTTTTCTGAATGATGTGATGGACTGGATGACAATGTCTACACTATACTCTTTAAACCAGATCCCTCCACTCCTGAGAATGCCTTCCCCCCATCCTTCTCCAAACCCATTCTCCTCCCTACTCCTATATTAGTTACTTCTCTTTTTACAGTGACAAAACAACTTAATGCCTCCCCCCTACACACACACACACACACACACACACACACACACACACACAAATAAATAAATGCCATTAAAAATATTTCTGTGCCACTCATGTGATGGCTCAGTAGGAAAAAGCCCTAATCTGAGTTCGGTCCCCACGCAGTAGAAGGAGAAAACCAACTCCTGCAAGATGGCCTCTGATCTCCACATGCACACTGTGACCTACACATATGCATGCACACACACAAAGTAAAATAAATATTTTTAAATTTAAAAATTATTACATGTATTTGTTTAAATTTTTAAAATATTTATTGTGTGTGTGTGTTTGTGTGTGTATGTGTGTGTATGTGTGTGTGTGTGTGTGTGTGTGTGTGTATGGTGCCCACAGAGGCCAGAAGGGGGTGTCAATGTATGTGAAGCTGGAGTTACAGGTAGTCATGAACCACATTGCTGGGAACCAAACTTGGGTCCTTTGGAATAATAAAAGTGCTTTTAAGCCTCTCTCTAATCCCAAATGTTTTTAAAACAACATAGTGGAAGAAGAATTTGCTTGGGGTCATGATTTCAGAAGGTCTCATGTATCCTAGCAGGTAAAGCCTAATGCAGCGTTCCATTGTGGCCAAAGCATGGAACAGAGCCCCTTTCATCTGTGCTAAGGGACAGTACCATCCGTAAGAAGGGACTTCTGATTCCTGCTGTCCTGGAACTTCCCCCTTGCTCTTTAGCCCACATCACCCTCCCTGTAAACACTACACCTAAGTGTTTACACTCTTCAGGAATAAAGCTCAGGTGACATAACTGTGAGCAAGTGCAAAATTTAAAAAAAAATAATGAGAAAAGTTGGCTCCATCACAAAATATGAACCAGGGCCTCGGGTGACTCATTTCTGACAGAAAGAGTGAAGACACGATAGCCCCAAATAGGTCCTGTTTCCTGGAGGCAGGGCTTGTTCTCTATATAAAAAGAGTTTGCCGAGGGTGCCACCTCAGATTCAAGCGGACCACGTTGCCTGTTTTCCTCTGCACACCAGGTGAGTCTCTCTGCTTGGAAAATTTTACCACTTGCTCTAGGCAGCAATCTGACTTTTATTGGAACATCCTTGGCATCAGGTTGTGTTTTCTGTTTTTTCCTTCGTCATTGAAATTTATTCATAGCCATGAAGACAGTCCATTAGAATTATAGACCCTAGAAATTGTGTTTGTAAAGTAGTTGAAGGAACTTTAGACATAACTGGCTTTGTCTCACCCATCCTTACTGTGTTTGTGGCCCAGAGTTGTTGTAGGATAGGAAGTGGAACACAGGCTTATAGGTCTTTTGATGGTATAATTTCTTTCTCTATAACTTTAATCCTGAGAATTTTATTATTTGAACAATAATTTTTGAAAGAGTTTGTTAAATATGGCACTTTGTACTGCTGAAAAATTTAGATAAAAAGGAATTTGCTCCATAAACTGCAATTCATTTGGGAGAATAAGCACTAAAACACACAGTGGGAGATCAGCACCAGGTGGCCAGGGCAAGTGCCACAGCAGTTTGGGAAGACAGAGGAGATTTTTGAGGCGCTTGATCCAGAAAAGCTGCCCCGGAGTGCCGTTATGAGGCGATCTGCCATGGCTGGGTGACTCTGAGCAGATGGAATAAGAAGAGCGTGTGGGGCAAGCAGTGTGAGACGTGTGTGATCGTGTGGCATTCTGGAAGGCCACAGCCCTCCTACAGGTGGTGACACTTCCTATTTATTGAAAATGCACAGCAAGCTGTGGTTATGTTGCTGTGGTCGTCCACATGCCATCACATTTCTACTTGACTTGATACTACACATCTCACTTTCCTACTAGAAGCCCTCTTCCTGTGTTGCTAACTGTACTTTATAATACGTAGAAAGAGAGAGCACTTGGAAAGGCGTTACACAACGGAACAGAATAGCTCAGAATAGCTGGTCTTTAAGTTTCTCCTCAAAGTATCCTTTGTGGTTGAGAGATCAAGAAAAGCCTTTGCTACTTAAGAACTTGGAAGTGGCATTGAGAGCCGCTTCTTGTCAAGTCATTCCCTCCTCAGACCATCTGTTCTGTCTCTAGGGCAGCCATTGTTGAAGCATGAGTTCTCACCAGCAGAAGCAGCCCTGCACAGCTCCTCCTCAGCTGCAGCAGCAGCAGCAGGTGAAGCAGCCTTGCCAGCCACCACCTCAGGAGCCATGTGTCCCCAAAACCAAGGAGCCCTGTGATACCAAGGTTCCTGAGCCCTGCCACCCCAAGGCTCCTGAGCCCTGCCACCCCAAGGTTCCTGAGCCCTGCCACCCCAAGGCAACTGAGCCCTGCCACCCCAAGGTTCCTGAGCCCTGCCACCCCAAGCCCCACCCCTGCCACCCCAAGGTTCGTGTGCCCTGCCACCCCAAGGCCCCTGAGCCCTGCCACCCCAAGGTTCCTGAGCCCTGCCACCCCAAGGTACCTGAGCCCTGCCACCCCAAGGCACCTGAGCCCTGCCACCCCAAGGCTCCTGAGCCCTGCCACCCCAAGGCACCTGAGCCCTGCCACCCCAAGGCACCTTAGCCCTGCCACCCTGCTGTCCCTGAGCTCTGCCCCTCCATCATCACTCTTGCTCCATCTTAGCAGAAGTAACATGGTCCACAGCCTTGCCTTGAGCAGGGCTGTTGAGCCCTCCACATTCTGCTTGAGTCCTTGTCTTACATCAGCATTGAGTCACAGTTCCTCTCTCAGTTACACCCTAAAATCGAGTTATATGAAGCTCCCCCTCCCACAAACTTGGGGCCTCTGAGTCCAGCTGAGGACCTGGGCAAATGTGTGTGCTCAGAGTTCATCTGAAGAGAGACCTAAAGTGAAAACATTGACTCGGTTCTGTTATGCCTTCATTAAATCTCCTTTCACCCACTCCTTACTGTGTGCTGTGCTGTCTTAGTGATTCTTCCTTTTTCCCTCCTGAGGCAGAGGCTGTTCGCAGAGCCAGGAGGGCAGAAAGGGGCTTCGTTCATTTGGCATCTGGCCCTGGTACTGGTGGGCGGGAGACTGCTCCCACTGCGGTTACCTGGGCTGTCAGAGTGACGGTTACGCAATGCCATCAGACGCTTTCACTTTGGTGACCCAAGGCTAGAGGAGGACTCTCCTCTTCCAACTCAGTGAGTCAGCTGGCGTTGAGTCACTGCCTGTCCTGCTCACTCTAACTTATCTAACCCTGAGTGCTCTGCCCCCAAATCTGGCCTCTGGATTTCTGACTTATTTCTGTTTATTTCAAGAAATGTTCCAACATAAGGGAATCTGCTGCTTCTTACTCATCTCTTCTATACACCCACAGTTCAAGTTCCACGGCAAACCCAGAGACTCCCAGTGTCCACTGTTGTTCCCTCTGTCTATCCTCTTCCATTCTGTGAGTGCCCATTCTGTGCCAAAAAGTGAATGAAGAGATTGACAGTGTTTATCAGGAGCTTTTACAGCCTCCTGGAGGGATGTGCTTCATCCTCTACCCATCCACTCACTCAATCTCTCTCTCTCTCTCTCTCTCTCTCTCTCTCTCTCTCTCTCTCTCTCTCTCTCTCTCTGATAGTATTTAGAGAGTGGGAAGAAAAAGAGAGAGAGGACACTACGCCAGCGCCAGCCCTTGAGCGACACAAACACATATATATTTAACACGTGCTAGAATTTAGAGAGTGGGAAGAAAAGCAGAGTCAGGAAACTAGGCCAGTGCCAGACCTTCAGCGGAACAAGACTACATTTATTTAAACAGTGCAAGTGACAGCAGCTTTCCCGCAGGCCGGAAGCAACCGTGCTGTGAATGGGGGAGCTAGAGAGCACACAGGGGCTAGGGCATGAGCAACAGATGCAGCCGAAGGGGTCTTCGGTTCTCATTTTCGGGAGCCACTTGCTCAAGCACTACAGGCTATCTCAAACAACAGCCTGTCTCAAACAGTTCCCCCTGATTCCAGGAGTGGCTGACCTGGGAGTGATTGATCAATAAGGTCAGCAGCAGTCTCAGAGGCAGCCAGGACATTCTATCACAAGCAGCCTGGAGTCCTCACAGAGTCGCAAACAACAGCAAATTCACCAGATACCCAGGCTGGAACTCTTATTGCTTTTATTGCAAACATAAGTCTGGTGAGAACCGCAGGATAGGAATACTGTTAAAGTCACCCGCATCTGCTTAGATTATAGAGATGTTTATGCTGAAATAAAATAAAGCAGAAATCAATAGCACATTCATAAATGTCTACGTACTTACATGTATGTGTTTGTATTTTATTTTAAATTGATGCATAATATTTGTCCATAAGTATGAAGTGCTTACTGTGTGGTAATTCAGTATATGAGTACCACATAATAACCAAATCAAAGTAACAAATACTTCCACATCCTTATCATTCCTTTAGATTTGCATCATCCTTACTTCCTCTTCCGCCCCTTCTATTTTAAAGAATCTTTGAGCACAATAAATACTAGGGAATGTCTTCCTATCTTGTCAACTGATTAACAAACTTAATTCCATATGCAACCTGCTAGGGTCTGAATGTTTATGGCCCCCATTCATATACTAAGTCTATTGAGCAGTGAGCTGGCCTTGGAAGATAGGGTTTGTGGGAGGTGACTAGATCATGAAAGAGACATCCTGTGAGTGGAATTAATGCACTTATAACAGAGAACTGAGAGAGTGCTTTTATCCCTTCCAGCATAAGAGGTGACAACTAGGGACTAGAGAAATTGCTCAGTGGTTAATTGCTCACTGGTTGTTCTTGCAGAAGACCCGGTTCGAATCCCAGCACCCACATGGTAGTTAACAACTGTCCATAACTCCAGTTCCAGGGGATCCAACAGCCTCTTCTGTCCTCACGGGCATTGCACGACATGGGTATACTTACCTACATGCAGGCAATACAAGCGTACACATAAAATAAAAAACAATAAAATATATATAAAAAAAGAGGTGACAACTGGAAGATGCAGTCTGTATTAATTCCTTTTCTCTTTGTTGACACACAAAAATCTTGAAGGAGAAATGATTTATTCTAGCTTACAGCTTCAAAGGATTCAGTCATCGTGGAGGCCAAGCTATGGTGAAGCAGGCCAGGAAACGGAGACAAGGGAATGCTGGCTCGGATCACTTTCTCCCTTTTCCCTCTCAGACTCACAGCCAATGGTATGGCACCACCCACATTTGGGGAAATTCCCTCTCAGTTCATCCCTTCTGGAAACACTCAACATATGTACCCAGGAGTCTGCCTCACTGTTTCCTAGGTGATTACAAATCTAGTCAAGTTGACAATGAATAGCAACCATCACACCAGTTTTTAACTAGAAAGGGGGCCATCACCAACCATTCAATTTGCCTTGTTCCTGGACTTCTAGCTTCCAGAATTGTGAGAAATAAGCTTATGCTATTTACAAGCCACTCAGGAGACAGCGTTTTTTTATAGTAGCACCAATACACTGAAATAAAACCTTAATTTCACTTTGTCACATAGACTATCACATTTACAGATTCCAGACAGCCGGACTTAGATTCCTTTGAGCTGGCATCATTCTTCCTCCCACACTGAGTGGATAACAGCAGAAATCTGAGACTCTGGACCATTGTGAAAGTCATCTCTAACAAAGTCCATGGAGCTGATGCCAGATAGCTGAGCATTAGCCACAGAAAGAGGGATGTAAGGAGTGGACCAAAGAGGGAAATAATGCATCTGAACCCTGACAGAGCTTACACTCCATCATGTGGAGCTAAACGTCTAGTGTTCATGCCTGGGGATGAATCATGGGAGAGTGGCAGGGAGAAGACGCAGAGATAGAAAGAGAGACGTCTTCGACAGCTTTGCAAGCCATGTTACGGATTTGGGATATTATTTCATGTGAAGTGGAAATTCATTCCAACAATACATGAAGTGTTCTAATGAACAGCATGAACAAACTGAGAACCCAAGAAGTTATTAGAATCTCTCTTTGCCTGGGCTCTAATAAGAAAACAGCAATAATAGATAATAGACCGGCACTTGGTATCAGTAGTTACAGGAAAAAGATGAAGTGATCTTACTATTAGTAGGCAAACCTAACTCCTTTCAAATGGATGCAGTTTCACCCACAGTGTTTGTGATTCTGTGACACCCAGGTCACCTTCCTCTTTCCTGATAAATATTAAGAGGCCTCTTTTCCTGTCATCGTTAAGTTCTTGTTTTCCATATCCAAGATGGTGGCATTCCTGTTTCTAATCTTGGTACCACAGGACTTTTGTCTCTGTTAGCTATGTGTTTTCCGAGATGGTCTGTGATAGTACGTGATCCTGCAGTTTGGGTACATTAAGGACCTGGGTCTTGTGCTCCTCCAGGTATAGGATAGTGAACTCTCCTCTTCCTTTTTGCAATGAAATTATTTATTTTAAGTCACTCTTCTAAGTTTTGTACTAAACGTATGATTTAATGATATTTTAATGAGTTCTAGTTTACTGATTAAGATAGTTAAAATGCAAAACATTTTATCATTCTTAAAACATTTCCCATGCCTCATTCAAGTGAATCATTCTTCTACCCATTTTTATCACTGCATTTTACTGCCCCTCCATGAACCACCACCCACCGCACCTTATTAGTTTCCTAATCTCTAAGGATTTTCAAACTGAAGCACATGTATCTTTTATTTTATTTTATTTTATTTTTTATTTTATATGTATGAGTGTATTGCCTACATGTGTGTAAGTGCACCCATGTTGTTCAGTGCCCACAGAGGTCAGAAGAGGGTATCTGATCCACTGGAACTGAAGTTATGGATGGTTGTTGATAAAGTAGCCTATGGATGAATCCGGTTGATCTGGAGAAAGCACCAGGACACGGATAAAACTCCATTGGAATAGAGTTTATTAGCAAAGTCACACATGGGACAGATTCCCTTCTGGGCCGGGAAAATGTCTGTCCCAGGTCATGAGCTGGGGCCTTTTTAAGGGGGAGCCTTCTGGGGGGTGCCCAAGGCGGGAAGATATATTTTTTTTAAAGTTGGGCAGTGGGAAGCAGGAGAGCAGGACTGTTAAAACCTGCCCCTTTAGAGATCAAAGGGGAAGCCTGCTGTGTTGGCCAAACAGTGGAGAAAAGTCTGCTTTTCTTGACTTCAAAGATCAGGGTGCTTATCAACTCGGTTCCCTTTTCTTGGGGGCTTGTGAAGTCTGTGAGGCCCTGTTGGTGAGGGGGCAGGGCTATCTGAACCTTAACATTCCAGCCATTTGTGTTATAGGATAGGGGGCGCCATTGACATCTTGCTTCTTCCTGCTGGACAGGGTCAACGTGCGGGGGGGCTGGATTAGGGGTCGATCAGATAGCAGGGCTCCCTCTTCATGCATCTCAACAGGGTCCTCAATGGTTGACGGGCGCTTGTGTACATGTGGAGGGAAGGAAAGTAACAACTGATTAAAATTAGTAAGAGTTAGTTTTTGGATTTGGTCCTGAAAATATCTGAAGAGGCAAGGAGCAATGGTTAGCACCAAGGTAATAATTTGTTTTTCTTTTTTTTTTTTTTTTTCTTTTTCAGGGCTGAACTTGAGAGTGATGGACTCAGGATTTGTTTTCAGGCATTTTGATAGCTGTTGGAGTGGCTAGAATCAGTGTCAGTTCCCTCTCAAAGGCTTCTAGATAGGGAGAGAAAACAAATTTGGCCATCATTTAATTTTTTTGGCTAGAACAATAGTGGGTTGCCTCCCTTAGCTGTAGGTGGGCACTACAATATTGCAGACTGAGATCTGAAGTCTTACATCTGAGTAGCGTTGTCTT